CACCCTATTTCGTCTAAGGTGATGAAGGACTGGTAGTAGAATTTTCCCACAATGATATAAGTTGAGCTGATGTTTCCTTCGAATTTCACACAGCTTTGCTTTCCCAAAAGTTGTTCTCATCAGCTCAACTTATATCATTGTGGGAAAATTCTACTACCAGTCCTTCATCAGCTTAGACGAAATAGGATGAATACATCTCATTATAGTATCTTTTTCATTTCGAATGAAAGATTGTGTGATGAGAAGATGTGAAAACCAAGCCTTACAGAAGGCGTCGGCCTGACTCATGGACTTGAAGTGACTTGAAGAATGATAGCTTGCCCTGATGACGCCCATCTGGTTACAAATGAAGGATAAGTCCATTTATGTATGTATAGATTAAGTGGGCTTCCGAGAATTTCAGTAAATGTTGAGTAAGAATTCTAGTCACTCTAGATTGAGTAAGTTGAATATTCCCCAAAATTTCCATCGAATCTTATAAAACCGTAGATATAAGGACCAAGATGTTGTTCCCAAAATGGGAAATGAAACTGGAGATAATTGCAATAATATGGACACCTCAGGAGCCAACAAACAGGAACACATTTGCGAGGATAAGTACAACCCTACAAAGGGAGGAACAAGATAGGAGCACTTATTGTGCACTAAAGAAGGGCCTAATTATACAGATAAATGGAACATTACGAGACATGCAGAAAGCTATGGGTAACAACGGCGGGATTGACGGATGAATGATAAACTCACTTATGAAAACAGCCGACGGATTACCGTAGATAAACAAAGAAAACTGATCACTAAGGCAGGTAACCAATAACAAGTATGGAGTAATACACAAGTTGACAAAGTTCATAAGTTTGAAACTCAAGAAATTAAACGATAGATTATCGAATACAATATGAATTTTCTTAAGTGATCAAAAACATGTTACTGGAAGAAACAGACTTATTGATTGGTTTTGAGGAGTCTTTAACAAAACTAATCAACTTGACAATTAGGACTACCTATTTCACTTTCAGCAGGAACATCCATGAATAAATATTTGGACTTCCCATCGAATCGCGGCCCTCACCACTTTTGGCAAACGGATACATGAACAAATTAGCGGAAAACTTCAAGATGTCTCCGCTATGACCAGCAGTACTCATGCGGTACCTGGAGGACTATTTCGCACTTTGGTCGCATAGAAGAGAACAAATTGCAAGATTTTCTAAAGTTTACAATTCACAATGAGGTAAGAACCAAATTCACAATGGAAGTAGTGGAAGATGAAGTGATGTTGAAGTGATTCGTTCTAATGGGACGCTCAAGAGGAAATTGTTCAGAAGGAAATCATGTCGGAATAATGCTAAATCTCCAGTCTTATCACAGCAACATGCCAAAGATAGGAAGAAAAGATTAGAAGGTCGATCTTACCAGAATAGGACGGTTGAATACCGTTGAACTGCAGCCATTGATATGACGTTGAGATTGAGATGCAGTCCATGAATCTCTTCTTCATACACTTTCTATGAAATGAAAGTCCCAACAATAAAATGGGAATAATGAATGTCATGAGTATCAGAAGCCGACGTTTGACAGACGTGGAATTCTGAAATGAAGAATAGGAAAAGATATCTCTGAAATTCTTCGGCGACGGGTGCCTGAAAGAATTAATACAAATAAACGTACTGGATGAGGAAATATTCACAAAAGTGGATATTCCTACCTTCCTGCAATTAGCTAAAAACTATTCCCAATATTAAGAATATGGACTATTCAGGTGACCCTACAGGAAAAAACAAAACTCTTCACAACAAGAGAGGGCGGACAAATTGGATTGCTCGGGAGTTTACTGCATAGCATGCGACGCTCGCAAACAGAAATGTAATGACGAAACTTGCAGAAAAATCGGCGCATGCATCACGGAATATCAAAGGGTCTGCGGGGAAATGGATACCAAAAGATCAAAAATAGGGGAACGAATCGCACAGACTATACACGAGATCAATTTAAGGGCAAATGAAATAAGAGCCTCATACGGTTACAACTAAAGGAAACAGAAAAATAGGGAGGCCATTGACATCTTTGGGGAAAAATGTAATTAACAGGAGATTTGAAGAAGGCAGAATTAGTACTGATTTGTCTATTGCATTAGCAAACTGGGAGAATACAAGTAGACGACAAGACAAGCCTAAAGAATATGCGAAGAAAAGTTGGATTTCGAGAAATATCTTGTTTCATAATTGTTGAGCTTACTTCCATTTCGAGTGAAAGTGTTGCGTGACGAGATTCGAAGGTCGGTTCCACCAGAAGACGACGGCGGATTCTTCTTGACCAGCTGTCGATTGGCTTTACTGGAAGATTCATGCTGATTCTGGTGAAAATGTGCTAAGCTTTCGTCCGTCATATGAGCAAGGTTTCATCGTCACAACAAAATTCAGGCTAACGAGTTAAGAAGACTGCTGTATGTAGAAAGGGGGAGATAGTGGTCATCAAAACCTGATGGCCGAAAGCAGTAGTTACTTTTGAAAATATGAAGACCAAGATGGTGTGGCCTTTTGTGTGGTCGCAGTCTCCTTTCGCTGCATATAATTTGGCAAAGTGGGTACTAAGTTAGGCATATATGAGGAACCCACACATATTAGTTTCTTTATTAATTTATTATCCAATCATAAAAATAAAGGTTGTTTGACCTTATTGCAACTTGGTCAAGACAGAAGGAGAGATACCACAACTGTTGAGCACACGTTTGGTCAAAGGATCGGCTTCACTTGTCTCTTTGACGAGTTGTTGTGTGGTGCTAAGAATGGCAGGACTCACTGACGATGCTGGCAAGACGTCTGGGAATGTACCACGTCCACTGTCCGACTTTGGAAATGATGATGCATACAATGGACTCCGGACAAGGTGAGTTCCTCTAAGTCTTCCTCCCAATATGACCAAGTTGCGAAAACAAGGTCGAACAACTTATAGACGTTACTTTTGCTGTCCTAATTACTTTTGAGCCATCACTGCGGGTTTCGTGCACAAATGAACACAAACAGGCACAAAAACACACAGAGACAGACACACTCACAGGCTTTGAAGTTGACATATGACCGTAACTAACCAAATCACTTTATACCTGATCAGATATAGAGTATATATACCGCTTTTTAAGTATTTGCCAACGAGTTTTCTCGACTCGTTAGCTTGAATTTTGTTGTGACGACGATACCTGGCTA